AATGAGCACCTACATACTTGTCTTAGTGTCACTACACGAATGGGATGAGACTTTCCATCCTTCCATTTGAAGCAGACATAGTATGTACCGATCTATGCATTGTCAGTATCCCTCCGACAATCCTATGACCAGGAACCTTTTAGGACATATTGGTTATGAGAAGAAGGTCTCTGTAGTCTAATCATCATTAGATTACTTCTTCCATCAATCCATTGTCCATGGATTCATCATTTAGGACATATTTCGTTCATTGAGATAGTCCTAGTTAGTATCTTTGCCTTCCGATGTATAAGAGTCATATATACATCATTACATTGTCCTGAAAGGTTTCTTCCAAAGATTGACTTTCAGGGCATATTTCCAACAATATATATATATAAGGAGGTCCCTGCACTCACAGTATTACCCTATCTCATGCTAAAACCCTATTTGATGGCAAGGACTCTCGGCTGCTTGAGTATAGAAGACTCCTTATGAAGCCCTAGCAGTCATGGCTTCTTCTTCTTCCTCCACTTTGGAAGATAAGTTTATTTCCCTTTAACTGTTTGATTGGTTCATTGTAATTATTTTGGTTTTATCTGTGATCCTAGTAACTTGTTGATTTTCAAATTACTTCTTACAGGAAGCTCCCTTAGTAATCTTTTTGTGGTGGATTCACAGTAGGTGATCAGTTTTGTTGTAGGACATATTTTCATGTGCTTAATTTTAGTATGAATTTTCGTCACTTAGTACTATAGTCTAGTGATATTTCTCATCACTTTTAATTGAGAAGTCTTCGGAACGATTCTCGCCAAATGCGAATTTGAACCACATTATTATGGTAAACCCATTGTAAGGCTTAGCCCATTCTCCCACCTTTTAGTTTGGATACTATTATTTCTTAAAAAAAATAATAATAATATGGTTTTTCGGTTAAATCAATTACAACTTATATTGTTTATTTCTTTTCGTGCTTGTTGTCGTATTTTAACATGAAAACTGCAGTGTTGTTGATCAATTAAAACAATTTCATTATTGTTTTCATCTGATTGCTGGAGATTTAAGGAAGGCATATCAAATACCATCTTAGACTAAAGGATACAATACGTAATCTAATTCGTTCATTTAAGTGAGTTGAACATAAAACCTCTTACTTACAAGTATTGTAATATAATTAGACTATAGTACTAGTGGCAAGTGACATAAAAAACAAACGCTTTGTTACATGTATCAAAGGCGTCAAACGTGCACATAAGTATGCAAGTATTTTTGTCATTTAATATTAAGGTCTAGTGGTATTTTACTTCACTCATAAGTGAGAAGTGTTAGGTTTGAAGAAATTAGGTTTCGTTCCCTTCTTTTTCTATTTCATTTATTAAAACCTTATTCCTTTTCAATTTTTTATCAAGGTTCTTCGGTCTTTTTACTTAAATATTTACATGTCAACCTATTTAAATTTTATAATTAAAAATTATTTAAGGGAATTGTTATTGGCACTTCAAAAATCTCATTCTACACTCCAAACTTTCTATATTTGGAAAGAAAATACACTTATGAGGAGTGTAGAATGAGATTTTTAGAGTGCCAATAACCTTATTTAATCATTTCTAAGTATATTCATTTACTATTAGAAACTTTACATTTGGTATTCGTATTTTTTACTAAATTTTGGATCATATATTTTTATTATTAATTTCTACCCATTTTTAAATTTGCAACCATTTTTTAAGTATGTTCCTTATTTTCTTTTTAGTTTTATTTGTACCTACATAGTTAATTCCTTTTTGTCTTTTGCTACTAGTGCAATCACCTTTCACGAGATTGAAGCTCAACCAAAATTTACCTCATAAGTCGTAACTTTAAACTTTTACTTGTACCCATACTTTTTTTAACCTCTTATCTGTGTTCATAATTTATTTATTTTTAATAAAAAAAAATATCACTTTGTTATATGTAAAATGTATCCATTTTTCACTGTAAATTATGTTCACTTCTTTTAACAACAATGTACTCATATTTATAGGCTTATTTATAGTTACGCCCACTGAAAATCGATATATATCTCACTTTGCCCCTATAACTCAAAAGTCACCATTTTACTTCCTAAAATTCAAGAGTGCTCCACTTTACCATGTTTCTATTTCTTCTGTCAAATCTACCCCCATTTGATCTAACTTTATCTTATGAAACTCGATTTTCATACGACTTTACCCTTAAAATTTAAAAGTCGTCATTTTACTCCATGGACAACCCCAAATTAGAAATTGGACAGCTTTTGATCAATAAGCTGAAGAGATACTTCTTGAACCAATCAAGTGGTAGGGCTATGATGACACAATTTATATTGTTGGTTGTGCTTGGTGAATTCCATAGTAACTAGCTGGAACCGAAGCCATTGAACCCCTAACACAATTTCCAGATTATGGATAGCCATTGAACCCGTAACATAATATCACAGCCACCTAAGGGTAAGGAATATAAATCAACATCAAAATTGTAACCTCCCATATTTAATCCCATAGCCTTGCAACCAGAACTCTTCACTTTTCCTCCATCAGCTATCATAACCTCAAAAGGTTTTGTAACATGTGCTTGGTGTCCCCATTACTTCAACAACTTAGAATCTATGAAATTATGAGTGTTACCTGAGTCTAGAAGAATAGTAACAGATTGATCTTGCACTATGCCTTGCACTTTCATGTTGAGGACTGTTTGTCTGGCTGTGGTGCCACAGAAAACACAATCACTAAGTTGCATATGGTGTAACTCAGGTTGGAACTCCTCAGATTCATCACAATTGTCATCAACATCTAACATTAACAATTGCTTAAGCCCACATATATGACCCATAGTCCAGTTATCAAGACAAAACTAGCATTCACCTCTCTATCTCTTTTTCTGGATCTCCTCTGAAGATAATTTATTGATACCCAACTTACCATGCCATGGTATTGTGTGTAATGAGGGTGTGGTCAACAAGGGTGGATGTTTAGTGGGTTCAAAAGGTTTGGGTGGCAATGTTTTCATCTCAATGAGTTCAACATCAAGCTGCAGAGCAATGGATATTGCTTCATGGATAGATAGTGACATGTTTTAACAGCTTAACATCAAATTTTAATTCTTTCTCAATCCACCTAAGAAACAGCTCGTGAGAAAAATATGACTTAAATCACTAGTACGAGTAGCCAAATGACGAAATTCAGTGATATAATCCTTGACAGTACCTATCTGGCGTAGTTTGATGAGAGATTCAGCAGTATCCTCGAATTCCAAAGGCCTAAATTCTCTGCACAGAGCCTTGGTGAAATCATCCCAATGTGAAGTTGAATGGGTACAATCCATCCATTGAAACCATTGTAAAAATCTCATTCTAAGTGAAATGAAACTGCGAGCACATACTGAGAGTGACAAGTATGATAAAATGCAAAGAACTGCTTGGCTTCAAAGATCCAAGAAAAATGGTCATCACCCTCAACGAATCGAGGAAAGTCAATTCAAGGAAACCACTTTGAACAAAAGGTTTGGCCACCAGATGCAAAGATTAGACTATGAGGTGGTTGGATTTGCTTGACAACTTGAGGATCTGGGATTCTAAAGACAACAAAAGCAGAAGGACCTTCCCCAGTACCTCCAAACTGCAATTCACAGTGAAGTTGCTCAAAGTAGAGTAGAAGTTTATGATTGAAGGTATTGGAAACCGCATAATTGATTTTGGAGTCGAGGTTTGCCATGGAAGATTCAAGGGAAGCTACGCGAGCGTCCATTACTGAGAGTTTAGAGTTAGTGGTATGACGAGGCATACAAAGAAAAGGAAACCATGACCGAGGATATGGGTGATACTAATGATAGCTTCCAAATCCAAAGAGCTTGTTCGACCTTAACCAAAGCTGCAAGATACAGAAATAGCAATGGAAGTAGGAAGAAGAACAACAACTCTATTTTTTTGTAAAATTGTATTTAATGTTATAAATAGGCAAAAGTGAGAGAGAGGGAGGGAGAGGGGGAGAGAGAGAGAGAGAGATAGAGATATATATATATATATATATATATATATATATGTATATATATATATATATATATATATAACCTTTGCTAGAGATAGAAGTGGAACGGGTGCAAAGGATATAGGTAAAGAGAAGGGAAGGATATAGGTATTATTGTTTTTCACTCTTGATCTGGTGTGTTGTTTGATCATACACTGCATGCTCTTTATATATTCAAACTCCGATTCGCATTGTTCATCATAAAGAAATCTCTGATCAACAATAGAACAAGATCCATTTTGCATCATATCTAAGGGATTCCTTGGTAGAGCCTTTTACGTGCATAAGTCTACAAGCCAATTTAAGGCATGCTGAAAACCATGTCATACAAGTTGAAAATCATGTTATCCAACAATAGCAAATATGACACCACCACCATTTAGTCATCCTTACTTTTTAACTTTTGACTAAACCATGTGGGCATTCAAACCCTGAGCTTTTACAACATTTAATTCATTTCATACCATTGGAATAGAAAGTGGAGCTTTATATATTAGCTCATTACCTAAATGCGAGCTGCCACATAGGCACAAACAGCCAAATGACTGAAGAAAATCCATAAAGAAATGTAAATTGCACTAATACTCCAAACAATTACAAATTGATCCTAAATTAGTTACTTCACAAGAACATAATAAAAGAATGATGACTTATTGACTAGCAATATTGACTGACTCACTCACGATGTTCCTTCAACAAAAGAAGAAGGGGTAAGTCAGAAACGAAAGAACCCAAAAACAAGAATTTTTACATTCAATCTCTTTCAATTCACACACCTTTAAATTTATAAATAGGATGGATAATGGGCTATAATTCACACACCTTTAAATTCAATCTCTTTCAATTCAAGTTTACATTGAATTCCAACTTTGGATCCTCTTCAAATTCCAACTAAGGGTCCTCATCCAATTCCAAATTGGAAGAAAAATGGGCATAGATGAGACAAGAAGATGAGGAGTCTGATGAAGAAGATGAAGCATGGCGCAACACACAATATGTGGCAGCCATGGCTACAACCATGGTGTGTCAGCCAATGAGGAACAACCTCAATGCAGTGGCTCTGATGTTGGTTGCTCTAACAAACCATGTAACAGAGTGATGACGCATGCCAATCTGATGAACAATTACTTCAACCCCAACTTGGTATACACAAAAGATGATTTCAGACGTCGCTTTCAAATGAGGTCTCATGTCTTCGAGCACTTACTTCATGATGTCCAGCAAGTTAATCTATACTTCCAACAGAAGCTAGACAGAGCAGGCTACCCTAGTTTCTCACCTCATCAGAAGGTTACTGCTGCACTACAAATGATGGCCTATGGCTCCCCAGTTGATTCAATGGATGAAACCCATGCTATGTCTGAGTCTACATGCCTTTATACTCTTACTGAATTTTGTAACACAAGTATTCAGCTTTACAAAGAGGAGTACCTCCGCAAGCCAAATCAAGAAGATCTGGATCGGCTCCTTCGCAAAGCTTAAGACCATGGGTTTCTGGGCATGATAGGGTCATTAGACTGCTTGCATTGGAGTTGGAAGAATTGTCCCATCGGATAGCAAAGAGGCTTTAGTGAAAGGTCGAGAAAGTCAACTATTGTGTTAAATGCAGTTGCCTCGTTTGACAAATGGATCTCGCATGCTTTCTTTGGAGTCCCTGGATTCCAAAATGACATTACAAATCTTGGGTGTTCACCCCTCTTCAATAACCTGACAGAAGGTAAATCACCTTAACTTGACTACCACATCAACGGCTGTCACATCCTGGCCCGGGGCGGATCACTTCCCGGGCCCGCTCCACCACCATAACACGATATTGTCCACTTTGGGCTTACCATTCCCTCACGGTTTTGTTTTTGGGAACTCACGAGCAACTTCCCAGTGGGTCACCCATCATGGGATTGTTCTGGCCCCCTTCTCGCTTAACTTCGGAGTTCCCATGGAACCTGAAGCCAGTGAGCTCCCAAAAGGCCTCGTGTTAGGTAAGGATGGGAATATACATTTAAGGATCACTCCCCTGGGCGATGTGGGATGTCACAATCCACCCCCCTTAGGGGCCCGACGTCCTCGTCGGCACACACGCAGCCAGGGTTAGGCTCTGATACCAAATTGTCACATCCCGCATCACCCAGGGGAGTGATCCTTAAATGTATATTCCCATCCCTACCTAACACGAGGCTTTTTGGGAGCTCACTGGCTTCGGGTTCCGTAGGAACTCTAAAGTTAAGCGAGTAGCGCGCGAGAGCATTCCCAAGATGGGTGACCCATCGGGAAGTTCTCGTGTGAGTTCCCAAAAACAAAATCGTGAGGGCGTGGTCGGGGCCCAAAGCGGACAATATCATACTATGGTGGTGGAGTGGGCCCGGGAAGTGGTGCCGCCCGGGTCGGGAAGTTGCTCGTGAGTTCCCAAAAACAAAACCGTGAGGGAATGGTAAGCCCAAAGCGGACAATATCATGCTATGGTGGTGGAGCGGGCCCGGGAAGTGATCCGTCCCGGGCCAGGATGTGACATTTGGTATCAGAGCCTAACCCTGGTTGCGTGTGTGCCGACGAGGACGTCGGGCCCCTAAGGGGGGTGGATTGTGACATCCCACATCGCCCAGGGGAGTGATCCTTAAATGTATATTCCCATCCCTACCTAACACGAGGCCTTTTGGGAGCTCACTGGCTTCAGGTTCCATGGGAACTCCGAAGTTAAGCAAGAAGGGGGCCAGAGCAATCCCATGATGGGTGACCCACTGGGAAGTTGCTCGTGAGTTCCCAAAAACAAAACCGTGAAGGAATGGTAAGCCCAAAGCGGACAATATCGTGCTATGGTGGTGGAGCGGGCCCGGGAAGTGATCCGCCCCGGGCCAGGATGTGACAACAGCCATCAGTACAAATAGGGTATTACTTGGCAATTGGCATATGCCCAAAGTGGGCGACACTTGTCCAAGTAATTCCAAACCCTAAAAATGATGCCGAAAAGTGTTTTATCTTACACCAAGAGGCATACTGGAAAGATGTTGAGTGAGCTTTCAGTATTCTACAAGCACGGTGGAAGATCATCAAGGAACCGACAAAAGGGTGGAGTCGAGAAAATTTAGACTCCATCATGATGTCTTACATCATATTACACAGCATGATTGTGGAGGATTAGCAAGATGGGTATATTGATGGAGAGTCTAATGACGACCAAGAGGATCCAAATAGGTCAAGAAGGGCTCGTGCAGAAATATATGATGGGCTTAATTTGCCTTTCAATCCAAGAACTAGCAATATCTCTATAAATGAGTACATGAGGCGCTATAGGATGATACGTTCCCATGCCACAAACAAGTATCTACAGTAGGATCTTGTTGCACATCTTTGAGCCAAAAGAAGCATGGAGTAGGCGTTTAAGTTTTATGTTGTTAAATGTTTTTAAAAATGTTGTTAAAGTTTCATGTTGTTAAATATTTTTTCTTTTTTTTATGTTGTATAATTTTTATGTTGTTTAATGTTATTTAATGTTCTTTTATATTGTTTAATGTTGTTTCATGTTACTTAATTTAATTTAATGTTGTTTAATGGCTTAGGAAGTTATAGGAAACAAAAATAGAATTTAAAAAAAATTGTAAAAAATAAAAATAAAATAAAAAATAACGGCTAGTTGACGTTGGCTAGCTAGCCATTGCAATTTGAATTCTGGACCGGCCAGGGACCAGTCCTTTGGCCCTTTGGCCCTTTTTTGTCTAGTGGGGCCCACGAGCACGTTGGCCTAGCCCTTAGTTGGAGACAGTTTTCGGGCTATTTTCAACCCTCTGGACCCTTCAGTTGGAGATGACCTTACATTCTTTATTTTGTTTTGGGCCTTGGACTTCTTGTTGATGAATCAGTTTTTTCTAATTTCTTTTTATGAATATCTACTTTCTTTCTTTTTTAAATGACAATAAAAGTTAAAACTTTTTTATGTTATTATTAAGAGAGTGGGAGGGTTCGAAACTATAACTATAATTTAGGGGAGGGAGGAGTTTCGAACTTGAGATGCATGGATGGAAACCAACACTATACCCACTAGGATATTAGACCACATGCGATGAATATAACTTTAATTTTTATTTTGTCTCCTATTATGTTGGATGAATAGCTATTGTGTCTAGTTCAATACCTAATTATGGTTAGCCTAATGTATGATCTAGCTCAAATCTTCTTTGGTGTTTGTGGAGATTGTTGGATAAATTTAAAATGTAAAGTGATTTTCACACACCACTTTTTCTTCACGCGCTCCTATTTGTTTTAACCTTTTATTGAATAAATTAAAAGAAAATAAGGTAGGAAAAAAAGAGAAAGCTAAGAGTAAAATTCAATACCCTAACTAAAATGTCAACATGCATACCTACGCACCAAGTTTTCTACACCCATAAGAAAGGGGCAAAATAACTGTTGTTCAAGCATCTTCAGTGGTTTAGGCAAATAAAGAAGGGAATATTGTACTATACTGCCTTTTGTGGTATGTTACCTACTCATTTGTCTCATGAAAAAATTGAATAGACTAGGAAAACCAGGTAGGCAGTATTGTATTGTATTATTTTATTTCACCATTTTGCTTTATTAACACTAAAAAATGGGAGGTCAACTAAGATAAGTATGGACTTATATTATATTATGCCTTCTTTTTTTAAAAAAAAAATGTCAATAACTTAGTATTACGGTTTAGTAGTATTTCTCTTCACTTGAACATAAGAGGTCTTAAGTTTGGTTCTTGCAAAATGCGAATTTAAACCACATTATTTTGGTTAGTCCATTGTGAGGCTAGCCCACTCCCCCCACCCCCTTAATGTATTTTAGATGATCACATAACAAGTGAAACCCAAAAAAAGGCATATAAATGTGTAGTTCTTTTCATTTGGCCATCCCACATTGTTATGTTTCATCGTTAAAGGCATGCAACATGTTTTTCACATAAACTGGCCTACATGTCATGTCCTAGCAATTAGGAGATGTCGACAAAAAGCATGAAAGAATTTGATCAGAATAAACTGAACCAATAAAACACGACAAACTAGCATACCCTGCATCACTGCCTATATAGATGTCCGTCGTTTGATATCAAATTCACATGCTTAATTCTCGTAGCTTCAGCTTGTTGCATGTAACCACATTGCTCCTCGCACTGGAGCCTACAAGCCAAGCATATGGAATTATGATTTTATTCAGTCCTTGAAGATTGATGATAATACCCTACAGGTGATTGATCAGAAATCTCGTGACGTTAAATTTTATTTTACGTTGAGGCATTTGGCTCATACATATTGAATTGTACATCCATGATTAAAATTGAACATAGTATCAAAGTAATTAGTCGTAGACCGCTAGACGGATTCTGAAAATGCCGTATATATGATACAAATTTTATCAAGACGTATTACTTACACTTGATTACTTTTGTAGGATAAAGTATACAAGGATGAGTTGAAGTTCGTTGAGGAGAAAGTTAAGCATATGATTGATTACGAAGATGATGATATCAACACACTGACTACGCTTGAGTTCATTGATGACATCCAAAGGTTAGGTTTGGGATATCACTTTGAAGAGGGCATAACAAGAGCTCTTGATAAATTATTGAACAACATTCATGGCCAGGGAACAAACCAGAGTCTCCACCTCACTGCTCTTAGCTTCAGGCTCCTTAGACAACATGGGTATTGTAACAAGCGATAAATAATTTATACTAAATTCGTATAAAATATTTGGTAGGATTTTAATCATGAAAGTACTTAATTTGTGTACTAACACCTACCTTAAATCTAAACAAGATACACCTACAAATAACTTTTTATCGTTGCCACTCAATACTAGGATATAGTGATGTTCATTTTCAATTGTCGATGTGAAAAAGGAGAGTTTGCAACTAATTTATTCTCTTTAACAGTTTTTTTGCTCCAATGCTTCTGGGTTAAATTTTTAGCCCACGATTATTAAATAATGAATTTAGGATAATTTTTTCTTAAAGTAACTTTTAAAAAAATATATATATATGTAGACTATCTTAATATAATTTTATGAACATATTAACCAAAAAATATTTAGATTCCAATAAATATTTAAAAATCACTAAACCGACAACATGAAACTTGTGGAACACTATGAAAGAATATGAAACACATGAAAGATTCTTTTTTTTTTTTTAATTACTTTAATATATGGTGCACCCACTAACCCAGGGAAGAATCTTGGCCTCAATTTGAATTTTTGGTTGAAACTCATATTTGCCCCAAGGATTGGAACAAGTTGGGGTAGATTTAGAATCTAAAATTTGAGTTTTACTTTAAGAGTTTGAGTAGGTCTTAGTGTAATATATTGATGTATAGAAAAATACATTGTATCGTTTACAGTTGATACCACACAGTTTCATTCGGTATAATTCTGTATAATTACATTAAAACTATATTTAGTAGGATTCTAGCTAGTATTGATACATATGCGAGACATAAGGTGCAAGGCTTCTAGAAAATAGAAAT